CCATTAAACTACTCTTAATCTAATGAGGACCTTGACGTATTAGAGAATTGACGGTTAACGCACACGCAGAGTCCGTCAGGTCCTCCTCAAGGTCCGAATTAAACTACTCCATATCAGTCCCATTATCCCCAAGAGCAATGGACCCATTATCCCCAAGAGCAATGGACAAAGTACAAGCCCGCCGATCACCAACTTGATAATAGACATAATTCGCCAGCTCCACCTCAGAGTGTCCACGAACGCTGCTTTACAGGAATCGCAGTTGAAGCACTTCTCCTCCGAGTTGCGGAACCCCGAGCAATCCCCTTGAAGTTCGTGAAAAGAAGGGGAAGAGGCAGAAGCAGGGCTTTCGTAAAGCGATGCGAAATCCCCTTCGTCGAAAGAAGGGGAAGTGGAAGAAGCAGGGCTTTCATACAACGATGCAAATTCCCCTTCGTGGAAAGAAGGGGGAGAGGAAGAGGCCGGGATCGCGTACAGCGATGCGGAGACGTTGATTGGGGCGAAGCCGCAGGAATCGGGCGGTTTACAACAACCGGCCTGAAGTCGGTTGTAGTGGAGGATCCCCGTTTTGGGTTGAGGCTTCTGCGACGCCAATTTCTGGCACTCCTGCCTATTCATCAGGCAGGGTTTGATTCTTCTCCACACAACCTCGTTTCTAACTCTGTCTTGCATCCAGTGGGAGTAATCGTTCAGCTTGAACTCCCTGTACCCCTTGCCCACAACCACGTGCCCACCATATTCGCCTGTCGAAACCACGAGACCGAAGATTCCGAATGCACAGGAAAGCAAGGCCACGAGAAGAAGACTGACAGCACCCACCACTCTACAGGAGTCACAGAACGAATCCCCGTCATTACACTCATCTTGATAGCAACACAAGAGCATCAACACCACCACGTACAAGAACGACGCTACACATAGATCAACCACGCGGAGGAATTGGTCACAGCCTGCGCCATGTCTACCCGTGACCTGATAGATGAGTGCAAGTGAGCCGGTGCAGAAGATCAGCTCACAGCATCGTGCTTGATATGCAGCCATGACTGCCTGTGGTATTAGACAACGAAATCTCAGCTTGCATCGAAGGGGATACTCGCACCAGGACTTTTTCTGCTAAGCTCTGGACGTGATTGCCGTCAGACTCATCCCAGAATGGCCGTAATTCCAGTTAGACACCTCAACGGAAGTTCTCGTGTGCGTATCCCCTAGAATTAGGTGAACGCAATCCGTCACTAGAACTTTCTAGGCAAGGTTGCTTAGGAACGCGGAAAAAACACACAGTGGGAGGACGATGGAGAGAACGTGAGGCTGGGCAGAGATCCGGATCAGGAGGAGTGTCCTTCACGTTTCCACATTGCTAGTGTACCGCAGGAGGTATGCCGAATGCAGGCAGATTTCCATACAGGGTGGTGCACGGAGCTACAAGTGTATCACTACGATCTACAGTGATATAAGTAGGACACGAACTCCGACTGAGAGCGAGATCGGAATGAATATAGTCCTGATTGTCCTCCGATTCACCAGCGCAGCGTCAGCCCGTTACGTGGAAAACTCCCTGATGTTCCAGTTGCACTGTTCGGCGCTTACCGCCATGGAAGCTGTAGAGCAAAGTTCTCTGACCCAACGCGAAGCAAGTACTTTTGCTGCTGCTCTCGTCACCTCACTTCTCTGACCTTAAAATCGAGTACAACTGATGCGGCCGGATTAGCTACCGTATCACTTCCCCGCTAAAGAAGCTAAAATGCTTGTTCGGCAGTTCATCATTCTTCTTCATCCGCACGTAGAGCCGTAAGAGAGGTGTGGGCCTCACCCAGCAGATAGACGAACGGTTTCCACCGTGCTTGGAACTAGCCACGCTCTCTCTCTCTCTCTCTCTCTCTCTCTCTCTCTCTCTCTCTCTCTCTCTCTCTCTCTCTCTCTCTCTATCTATCTATCTATCTATCTATCTATCTCGCTCGCTCGCTCGCTCGTGTTCGCTGCTTGCCCCCCCTTCACCACTCGCCGTCCTCCCTGCCCTTCACCATTCGCCGGTCGTTTTCCGTCCACCACCCCCCGCACTCCCTCCAGTCTGCGGTTCCTCAATTGCATTCGCCGCATTGGTGCCTCTTATGGAGATTCCAGACGCCACAGGCACGCGGAAGTTCGGCGAAACGGAAAAAAAAACACGAACTTGTTTCGTTATCGCACGGCGACACGACCACTTCACACTGGACGCAAATATACCAAAACTTTGGGGCATTTGCTACCGCTTTTGTGATATTTGCTTTGGCTGCTGGTCACATGAGACCGCTCATGGCGTGTGGGACACGGTCGTGGCCTTCTCCTGACGTTTGATTGAGCATCGCCACACCACTCTCGATATGTGCAAAATGAGAACGAACTTCCTGCTAGAACATGGGCAGATGCACCCGCCGCATTCTTGTCTTTTTCACATTTCGATGTGGCGAGGCGCTGACCTTGGCCAGTTGGTGATCACAAGTTCCAGAAATGGCCCAGTGAGAACATGCCCTCAGCCAGTTAATGGGGAGGTGCGAGTGGCTGGCCAAGATGCTTGGCAGTGTTGGCACTAGCATCGCCGGCTTCCCCCATGGGCAATGCCGGATCACCCTGCATCATCGTGATGTGGGGCTGATACAAGCCTTGCTCTCGAACCACTGCTCTGGTGCCAGCTTACCCCATGGGCTCGGAAGACTTCCAGGTTTGGTCGGTGTTCCCCAATACTTAAAATAGAATAGCGAGAGGATAGATGAGAAAAATGCAGAATAATGTACAGTAGCTTAGGGCCTGCGGTGCGGGCCGTGCGGGCAATGCCTCAAATGTGTTTTCATGGTGCGTCTTTCCAGTCAGAATGGCTCAAGGGGTAAATAATCACAGGGGTACCTGCTCATCAGACAAGCCAAACTCACAAGGGGATAGCTGAACTCAACTAACAAAACAATGAAAATAGTTAGATTCATAACAGTTCAGTTCAATGATAATCTGAAGCAAATTCTGTAATCAGATAACAGTTGAGACTTTCTTGAAAATGGGAATCTGGGCCATCCACCAATGCACCTCCTCACCATCCCATCTTCCCCATCTTCATTTACCAAATGCAGTTCTGTCATTTGTGTTGGGCTGGTGGTTGGAAAGACTCCTTCATCGCAGTATAACTGCTGTTCAACATCAATCCAGAAGCCAAGTAGAAATGGAGTATGAGCAAGGTCTGAAAGATTCCATAGAATTGATTGCTGAATACGGGCTTTCCAAGAACAGCGAGCAAGAGAGAGGGCGAATGTTGCTCTCCTTGAGCGAATGGCTTACTCGCAATTGCGTTGGTTGTGGCATTGAAGATTGTAATGACGTAAACGTGCTAGCTTTCTTCCAAGGACAGTGGCTTCTAGAACTGAGGAGCCGATGCCGGATTTTGACAAATTTGGCAAACCTTTTCCTGCTTGCAGCACTGTTGAGTCCGGTTTTAGTTGTCTGAGTCGTTGCTTTCAGATTCTTGGTCGAGAAAGAGCACAAAATCCCTGCAGTAGTTCTAAGGTGAAAGACTACCGTCGGGCTTATAAGAATTGTGCTTTTAAAAATGGGGTAACAGAGTTTCAGGCTCCTCCTATGACTGAGAGAAAAATGCAGCTGATTCACCAAGGCTTAAGAGACAAGATGAAAGGGCAGAGTGGATGCCGTTATGCCGAGACTCTGCGCGACTTGTGCATAATGAGTTACCTTTGGGAGAGTTGGCAGAAGGGGGGTGAAGGGCTACGGCTGCAAGGAAGAGAAATTGATGAGGAAGTTAGACTGGTTCAGCCAGCTCACACAAAAACTCTGAGAAGAGGGCGGCAGGGAGCAATAGCTTTACAGGAGCGAACTGGTGCTGGTACTTCCTTCTTGGAACTCATGGAAGAACTCCGTGTAGCTTACAGTAGGCTTAATCCTCCTATAGATCTTCGTGATGGCGGACCTCTCTTCCGCAGTACAAAAACGAAGGAAATGTTATCATTGAGTGGTTTTAATCGCCGATTAAAGGATTGCTTGGTAAGCCTGAAGATCTAAGAGGGTGAAAGCAGCCACAGCTTCAGAGTGGGAGGAGTGCGAGAGGGAATCAAGAAGGGGTGGAGTTTGGAGAAGATGCTGGGGCAGGGTACTTGGAAAACTTTTTCATCCTTCATGCGGTATGGCTATGGCTGCCGCTGAGAGGATGTGATGGAGATTCTGCTTGCGACTAGGCCAGCTTCGCCTGGGTTAAAGGCTTCTATCGAGACTCTGTTTGATGCAATGCAGGTTGTGTAGTGCTTTTTAGGAAAATCTGCTTGATGGGCCTCAATCTCAGGAGTGCTGGAAACCAATTTGCTCTCTTGGAGTCTGGGGTTATAAGCAGATATTCACCTCCGAATTCTCTGATCCTGGCAATGGTTTGTTGGATAAGACAGGTAGGGGGGAAAGCCCATCTATACGGAGATGTAGGTAGCTTTGACCAATCTAGAGAAAGGGCATCCACAGCAAAGCACTTGGGCGAGAAAAATTCAGTGATGTAGCTGTCACAGACATGCATTTCTTTAGATGCGAACAAGTCGACGGCGGGTACACCAAAATTTTTGAAAAGTTCCTGCTTTTTCTTTTCAATTAACCCCCAATCAGAAAAGTCAACTGTCTTGGATAACAGATCAGCCTCATTGTTGAACTCCCTTGGTAGCCATGTTGGTTTGAGTTGGCAATCTGTTGTTAATAGAACTTCCACTATTATTCTGAGTAACATATTAAGGATCTCATCTCTCGATCTCAACTTCGATAGTAGGTGGAAAACCGCTTGGTTATCCCCCACACATTCGACAGAGGACGACATCAGTTCTTGAGGGGCATTCTTTCTGAGGATGAGGAGTGACTCAGTGACTGCGTACAATTCTCTGTGGGTGCTTGATCTGTGCAGAAAATCAGATAGCAATGCAAAGATGACTTCAAGCAGTTCACCCGTACTTAGTGAAAGGATCGCCCCCACTCCTGTTGCAGAAGCTTAGAGTTTGAAAATACGTTTCAAACTTTCGTTTTGGAGTCCAGTGCCCTCTAAAGTTTACACTGCAGGCTAAACTCCTCCGTCACGCTATGTGACACCAGCGGCCTAGGCCATGGGCAACTAGGCAGGCCGCCGCGGCCGAAAAAGTCGGCCGCGATCGATGAGGCCTAGTCCGCGGCCTCGTTTAAAAAAAAAAAAAAAACTTTACCACTAAAAATACTTAAAAAAAAAAAAAGGGGCTCTAGGGCTTGAAAAACCTTACAATCCTATGATTTTTAGTTTCGAATCCGTATAAGATTTTTAAAAAATGAAAAGCGAAATTCGATTTAAACAAAATATTTAAAAAAAAATGAAAAGAAAAGCAGAAATTTTTTATTTTCATTTTTTATCACGAGGGATATGGTCCCTGAGTTGTGCTGTATTTTTTTCAAAAATGAATTTCGAATTTTTGTAGGGAAATTAGGTGTTTAAAAAGAATGAAGATGCAAAAAATAAAAAAAAATCAACAAAAAAAGGGGTCAGGCTGGGGTTGCTGTGGTCTGGGTAATGGGGGACCAGCACAACCAGGGAGAATGAGCAACATAATTTCTGTTGCTCTGGGAGATAAATGTGTGATTACTCTTGTACCGCAATACAAAATGTGTTGCTCATGTTGATGCAAACAAGCAAACAGACACACACA